AGATCCAACGGTCTACAGGATACCAGCATGAAGCCCTAGGGTTTCCTAACCCTAGGCTATCATCTTGCGCTGCCGCTTGGATTGGAGAGAAGCCAGCCGTCGCTTCATTGCCAAGTGGTCCAACGTCCCACTGCCGATGCCTCCACCACCATTGCTAACACTCCTTTTCCACGCTACACTCGAAGAAGCCTCTAGAAGAGCCAGCTGCCCCCCACACGTCGTAGCTATAGGGTGAGTCACCACATAGCTCGGTGACTCACCAAAAACCGCTCTATTATTCGGTCCGACGAGAGCCTTGTGGTGGCCTATAAGGCCACCACCGAACCTGTAAAATAAAGAAAAGGGGAAGAGAACAGAAACGAGACCACGACAACAAGCAAGGACGAACACAACGACAACAACACCACGAATGAAACACAAACAATCAACAATCAAAAGGAAAATAAGAGATCGAGAAAACTTACCCTCGTCGGAGCCTCCACACACTGTTGAAGAACCGAAATGGTGAAGGTAAAATTTTTAGATCTACAACGATCTAAAGGGTTTTAGGCTAAAATAGTTTTCGATTTAGGTATAGAAAAATAGAGGCTTCGTTTGAGGAGGGTTTTGTAATTTTCGGCCACTGGATGCGGTGGTCGGTGGCGGAATTGGCGGTGGTAGACGGCTGCCGACCGGTGGTCGGCCTTCTTCCGGTTGGAGGAATTTAGAGAGAGACAAGAGAAAATTTTCTCTCGTTTTTAGAGAGAGAGTAAAACAAAAGAAAAATGAAGAAGATGACCCATAGGGCCGGTTATTTGAGGGTTATATACCCTCTCCCAAATGATGTCGTTTTGGGGGAGGGTGTTTCTGTAATTTCTATTATAGGTAAATCCTTTCCGCCATACCTGCAGTTTTGCACCTTTACAAATTGGTCACTAAATTCAATTTCTAATTATTCCAATTCGATCTTATAATTTTATTTAATTTATAATTTAGTCCTTACAGTATATTAACATATTTAGTGTAAAATACCATATTTAGTCCCTTAAGCTTTAATAATTGTTATTTTAATCATTAATTAATTAATTAAGGGCAAATTACACTTTTAGCACTTAAATATATGACATTTCGAATTAGATCTTTTTAATTCGGCCTCTTAATTTATTTATTTTATAATTTAGTAACTGGCTTACTTATATATAATTTTAGGTAAAATAACCGAAATAACCATTATAATTTTGTTAAATAATATTTTAGTCTCGAACAGCATGTTTTAATTTGATGTCCAAATTTTATATTATGTTTATTTTAGTCATTAAATTAAAAATAAGGTAAAATAGCATGTTTAGTCCCTGAAATTTTAAATGATTAATTATAAATTAGGTAATAATTAATTTTTAAATAATTAACTAGGTAATAATATGTTATAAATTAATAATTAAGTTTAATACTTTCATTTATTGTTAGATACAAGTTTTATCATTTTTTTATTATAGTTTTAATTTTATTTATTTTAGTCATTGTTTATTTATATTTTAAATTTATATGTTTATATATTTAATTATTATTGTTATTATTATGTATTCATATAAACATATATAATAAATAATATTTATTTACTTATTTTTTAAAATAAAAATCATATTTATAAATTTAATTTTATATAAATTATTTTTAAGAAAAATAATCATATTTTAATATTTATTTATTTTTTAATATTAAGAAATAGGTTGTCTTAAAGCACCTAGAAGTCCTTTTATGATATTCTTAAATAAATAAATATCTTATTTTTATAAATTATATATATTAATTTATTTTAATTATTTTTAGAGAAATATTTTATTATTATTTATTTATTTATTAATATTAAAAAATGGGTTGTCTTAAAGCACCTAGAAGTTATTTTCTGATATTTCTAAGTAAATAAATATTTTATTTATAAAAATAAAAAAAACTATTAATATATTTTCTTAAAATTATATTAATAAATTTGAAATAACATGATTATGAATTAAATATATTTTTGAATTTTTAAATTTTCAATAATAGAGACAATTTATAATTAATTAGTACTAATTTTGGGCGTTATAGGTATGGTTGGGCATTTAAACCCGATCCGATCCGATTGGGTCAGATTTTTCTAAAAAAATTCGTGTTCGGGTCGGGTTTGGGTTTAAGGTGAAAAAAATCCGACCCGACCAGAAAAAATATATAATTTTACCCTATATATTTATGGATAATTACAATAATATATCTCTATATATAATTTTTTCCAATTAAATACTATTTTTATTGAATAAAAATAATTTTTTTATTATTTCGGGTCGGGTTTCTATGTCATATATTCGGGTCGGATCGGGTGAAACCTTGTTTTGGTCGGATCGGATCTTGGGTAGAGGCTCTCTTGTTCTCAGGTCGGATCAAGTAGATCAAAAACCCGATCTAACCTGACCTATGTTCATCCCTAGTTATAGGTACTAATCATTCTCTAAACATAAACCACGAATGAACGTTACAGCGAACAACGCAAGCCGGATTTGAAACCCCACAATACCTACAAGCGTGCTCGGCGAAATCCCCTTTTCCGTAGTCATACCCACCATCCTCGTCCCCAACCGTCTCCTCAAAATTCAATCCACTAATCCCCGTCGCCAACGCATCAACCGCGGCCACACTATTGCTAATAGTATTGCTATAGCTGTTGTTATTGCTCGTTGACGCACGGCCAGCTCCTTTCGAAGCGCTAGAAGGAGAGGAGGAAGCGACAGTGTCCGAGTGGTGGTCGGAGCCGGATCGCTCGGCGGAGTGTGCGTCGGAGGGTGTTGGCCAGGAAAGAATCAGGTCGCGGAAGTCCGTGTATTCAAAATCGGACTCATCTTGGGTGTTAAATTCGAGGAAGGTGTAAGCATCGGTGGCCGGATCAGGTTGCGAGGCCGTCTCGAATTGAGAATCCATAGAGGAAATTTTTCAATGCCGAAGGTTATCGTGAAGATTAAGATTAGGGTTTTTGATGTTGTTTCTGAGTTATGGTTAGGGTTTAGTTAAGAAAAAAAATTAAAAAATAGCAAAATCCAACTGAAAGAAAGAAACAGGTGAAACCTTATATATAGTTTGGAGTCATAAGTTACATTTCAGTTCACTCGACACTAACATCAATTTCATCATTAGATCATTTAATTATTTAAATAATATCAATCAATTCACTTGACATTAACATCTAACAAAAATGTTTATATAATAATTAATAAAATTTATATAATTACACATTTTATTCTCAGTATTTACAATTTCTATTAATTTGATTCTTATCTCAATTTAATTCAATAAATTACATATTTTAAACTACACGTCTAATAAAAATTAATTAAAAAATTATTTTTATTTTTTATTAGATAAATTAAAAAGATTTAATTTAAAATTATATATATAATCATTGAATTATAAATTTGTAAAAAAAATATAAAAGATTTTATTTTATTTTTTTAATCTTGTATTAACTAGAGTATAACAAATATATACAATGTATCCAATTATTAACCAAATATAAGATTTGTTTTGCAATACCTGATACCTTATTTATATTTGTAGCAGTATGTCACTATATAAAAGTTCTTACGTCAACTCACATGGAAACGACTAAAAGGACTTTTCATTTTCTAAAAGATACTATTGATTTTAGGCTATTTTACACATTTTTTTATGAATTTCAGTTCATAAGATTTTGTGATAGGGATTTTATCAGAGACATTAATGATAGAAAAAATTCATTTGAATTTATATTTTTCTTGGGATATTGTTGCATCTCTTACTGTTAAGAAAAAAAAATCATTGGGACTCTTTCCACACGTGATATTAAATATGTGACAACTTTTTGTACTTATCATTTCATTTGATTTAAAAACTAGTGAAATAACTTCACTTGCCACAAGAAGGACCTACTAAAATTTGCAATGATAACAAGCCTACACAAACACTTACAAAGAATCCATTATTCCATTATCGAAGCAATCATATTGACATCATATAACATTTTATTAGAGAACATATTGTCAAAAAGGAAGTGGAGCTTAGGTTTGTATAGAAACCAAGAACAAATTGTGGATATTTTTATGAAACTTCTCAAATCTTAAGATTTTAGAAGAATATGCGAATTCTTGGGGTGACGAAGAAATGTTCAAATTAAGGGGTCGCTAAATATTATAATTTAAATATAATATTCTATAAATAAGTGTATCTTTTTGTCAATCTATTATAATAAATGTATGTATTCATCATGAATGAATATGCCTAATCATGAAAATTAGATGTGATCGTGTATGATGAAAAGATGTAAAGAATAATTTCGATTATTCTAATAGTCACTTACAATTCCTATATAAAATATTGTAAGTGATGAAACAAAGCATTATATTTAAAGTGTATTAATGTATTTTCTTTCTCTCTACAAAATTGTGTTATTATACTTTCATATCTCTAACATTATATATTATTAAAATAATAAAATAACACTATATCATAAACTTTTAAAAAATGAGTAACGATCTGACATGCCAATAGATTAAAATGGGTGATTGACTCGGTAACTCAAATTTTTAGTCCATTTTTTTCTTCTTAGAAAAAGTCAAATTGGCCAACATATTAATGGCGGTCATTAAAGAAAGCCCATCTAGAAATTAAAAAAAAAGTGTAATGTTTAAAAAAATTCTTCTACGTTTGATTAAATATTCACTTAATTATTTTGGGGCATTTTGATCGCTACATTTCAAATTAGAAGACCGTCAAAACCTATTGCTAGCAACTCGTACAAATATCCAACAAGGATAACGGATTATATGATAAACATGCAATACACTTCATCAAATAATCAATTAAAAACTACAGTGGAGGGATTGTCACTCTACCCATAAAGAATTCCATCTAAGACCACATGAAATGCTACTATAATTGAAAATTCACACTTTCTGGTGTTCCATATATGCTTTATGGTAATACTTTTTAGAAAATTTAAAATTGGCTCTAAAACATGATTACTTGGGGAGGATTGTCAAACTATGCCTCATCTTTCAATACCATTACTTCCAAACTATGAGTATTTGCCCATAAGGGAGGCTTTAACTCGGTCCGGTATTATGGCTTGTGGATCTTGAACCCAAATACTCTTGGAACGTAGCTTTGTGTTGCCTTCTGTTGCTTCAGGTGCCCATATGTCATCAGAAACAGAGGTGGAAATGTGGTCCCAAAATAGGCTCCGTCTATGTCTTCGATAGAATTAAGGTAAACTCGAAGCAAAACATGCCAAGGCAAAATTGGAAATATGAACACAGACATCTTATGATATGATTTATGTCATATCGGCTGATAGCTACCTCGTATTTACTACAGACTGAATTAATTCCTACTGATTATCATCATCAAGTTGACTCCTTTCAACAATATTTAACAAAATGGTTCTGCAACTCGAGGGAACTAGTTCATTCCATTTTATTTTGTAGAGAATAGTCTACACCCCCCTTCCCTCTCTCTCAAGCCATGAAACAATTTAACCCTAGGAACTTTGCAAGATGCGGAGAGAAGAGGTCCTGATGCGGGCAATGTCAACAATAATATAGGAATATTATAAACACATAGAAGTGGAGAAAAGGAAAGTCGATTTATGACGTGCATATTATCTCCCTACAAAATCCATGCAACATGAAGAAGCAAATAAGTTCAATGGCCAAAAGGATACTGCCTTGATACTTGGAACGAGGGTAGTAGATATCTTCACATCTAGGGCAGTATATTTTAACGGTGCTTGAACGAGGGATATCTGACTGACCAGCTGGAAGACAAGGTTGTCCACAGCAGTAAACTCTGGGGCATCTTCCAAAATCATAGTTCTTGTACTTATCTAGCTGTCAGTTTTTTTTTTTAAATTAGTCACAATCTAGTTGCTGAATTTACATACATTTCAAAACATGAAATTATCACAGTAAATATGACAACAAACATCTCACCATAGCAGCCATTCCTTTGCTTGTCAATATGTATCTGGCATGAATCAGACCGTAAAGCATCTCAGCTGCAGATTCAACTAATTCATTTTGCTCCTCTGTAAACATATCTCCTATCAATTTTAGCCCCAACAAAAGTACAGATAGCAAAAAAATATTAAGAAATAGAACATTTTCCAAGTTGCCAGAGGACATAAATAATATGTTTCACATAAATTGAACTATTAAGTATTATTAACAAGAACATAAATATAGAAAAAAGTTCAAATTTGTGCCTTCATCAAGATTTAAAGCAGTCAGATAGATCAAAACCATGTCATAAAACAATCTGCTGTGAAGAACAAGACTGACAATAGCATTAACACACTCAAATCTCCAAAATCTAATAGCAGAATGGAATGAAAGAGTTCAACAAGAACAAGGAACAAAAATTCACACATCCTAACAACTTGATGGGAGAAACAAACAGTAAGCTTACCATGAGAAGATTCAACATCCAAAATCAAATCAAGTGCATAATCGTAATAAGGAACTTGGCTGCTTAGTCCACAAAGGTTAAAGTCATCTTGTATGTAGTCATCATCAACTTCGCAAAAGAATTCATTTCCACGTAGGTTGCAAAACCATGAGATCCAAGATGTGCCATCCCCATCAGAACCACTAACATCCGATTCCTCGTTGTCTGTTTCAGATTCATCTGCAATCAGTGCACCAAAATATTCGCATCAGTATGTCCCTAACAAGTAAAATAGAACGCAAAGTCATCAAAACACAAAAATGTAGTTGACCCTTGCTTTGAAAACATGGTTCATAGAAGAGAAAAAGAAGAATCAACTGAATTAGTAACCATGAAATATAAGTGCAATGCTACAATTCACAAAGCTGAACATTTAAGGTTCATAAAAAACATATGTATTCAACATCATTTGATTTTGGAAATGGTCCCCGAACCCTTTTTCCCTTGATAAAGGGGAAAACGCAGAAAACAAAAAAACTCAGGATTCAAGGAATCAAAATGATGATTCGTTTGAGCTATAAACACAGATGCTGAGCAAAACGTATTCATATAAAAATAAAGGTTTAACTAATATCTATACGATCTCACCCCACCAAAACTGCGACGCATCTAGTTGAAACTTAAATACATAAGCATTATTAGTTTTTTGTTTTACAATATTCATATTAATAACAATAAAAACTCAGATTTTATTTATATCCAGCTCCGATTACATATTGATATTCATATCAAGTACAACAAAGGCAAATTTAATTTCAGCAGAAATCAAAATATTCAAATAACGAAAAAAGTAAGATTTTAAAATACTAAAGTCTAAACATAGATACAGATGAAGTCATGATAAAAAAAATCCCTCAATTTCTCGTATGTTATCATGTGAACAGAGAGAAGTCTAGATTTTTTTTACAAAAAATATCGAATTTAGATATGGAAAGAGGGAGGGAGATGTTGTTACATTTATACCTTCGGCGTCTGCTTTGGGCAGAGAAACAGGGCGAGAGTCGAGATGATGATCAGATGGATGCTTCCCCGTAAGGAGGTAATGCACGGACTTCTCCTTTCCGTTGATCACTCTCGAAGTGGACGGCGAAGATCGTTCCAGCTGCTTATCGAGCGCATCGTTGATCCGCTTCCGATCCACCGCCCCCAACTCTCCCTTGGACACACCAATCCCTCTCTGCCCTCGGTACATCTTCTCTATTATCTCTTCTTCTTTGACGATGATATTAGTCGCTTTCGTTATCGCCGATGCATAACGTGAAATGACCTTATCCCCCCAAAGTCTAGGGGTCTTCTTTTGTTTTTTCTTCTGGTTTTAAAATCAGAGAGAGCGGAGGGATGGGAACAGAGTTGTTTTGTGTGTAGATTTTCGGGTAAACTACAGCTAAACTATTACTCTAGTTATATTTTGTATTTAAACTTTATTTTTTAAATTATATTTAATATTTAGTTTAAACTTTAATTTAATACCCCGTTATTACCTAACGCATATATTGATGAGTTATTATAAGATTATGTCACATCATTATTAAAAACTTATAATATCAATAGTTTAATTAATTTTTAACAATAAAATATTAAAATAAAACTTAAACTAAACATTAAATATTTTTATGTTGACATTTTCGACGACATCATCGTCTATTCCTAGGTTGGCATTTTCGATGACCTCATTTTCTTCGCTTTGTCTCTCTTTAGGGTAATACGTGAAAAAAGCATTTGATTTGATTGTGAATATTTGTATATCGTTCATTTATTAAGTTAAATAAATGAGTACAAACAAAATTTTTATATTCATTTAATAAACAAACGAACATGAACATAAGTAAGATTAGTTTGTTTATGTTCACAAACAATCTTGTTTATTGACTCACTTATATAAGCTTGTTTACCTGAATCTTCTTTTCCTTTATTTTTCTTAATTTTTAAATATCGGTGAAGAGAGAGACTAAAATGAACACAATGTAAATTTTGAAGTTCAAACTGTAAAGCCTAAGGAGCTTAAGAACTAGTGGTGTAATTTTCTTACTTGATGAACATGTTCACAAACGTTAAACAAACATGTTCACGATCGCTAAACGAATGAACACGAACACATTCAAAAATAAATAAATACGCACGAACAAGATATTAAAATTTAGACAAACACAAATCAAACATAAACACATTCAAAAATAAATAAATAAACATAAACATACTCTTATTTATTCTAACTCGATTCAAAAATAAATGAATTTTTGTTCCAAAGATGTTTTATTTCCCATGCACAAAAATTTTCTCATCTTGTATACTGTCAAATACAACCTAAAACAGTAAAACTTGAGCTTGTATGAACTACAACTGCATTTAAATCAACCCGTGAAACTTGGGGAACTTATTAGTATATTGCATCAATTACATGCAACCAGTCCAGGATTCCAATTCACTAGATGCTTTTTTCCCCTTGTATTCCTAGATTCAAGAGGATTTCAAGTCCACCAAGAGATTTCTCAGGCAACACAAGAACAACCTGCTCACCACGTTATATCACAAAAAAGGATGGTTCGGATGCATATCAGAAAAGATTGATTACTATCACCCTTAGTTCTAATACTGGTCTATCTGAAGAATGACAACTAACACGAACATGCCATTCCATATTACATGAAAAGGTACATGATTAAAAAAAGGTAATCACTAACCACTGCCACAACCAAGAGATTATATGAAAAAGTAGGGCGATGAATGAATGTAATTCTACGTTCTTAGTCTTCAGCAAAATACTTCTCCTCTGCATCATGGTTTGCTTCCCTAAGCCAGTGATCATCCAGGGTCTCATCATCATCTATTTTCGAGTAATCTAAATGCTCATGATCTTCACCGGATAGAAACTTCTGCTGCATGATGTAGGTGAATTGATCCATCCTATCTTGCATTTCTTCCGCCGAAGGTAATTCTTCACGTTGGTCTGCAGTTTCAGAAGCTGCAACCTTGTCATCCCCAGGATGGTCCAAAAGCATCTGAAACATAATGGAAGATACAAATGTATGAACAACTCACCAAAAAGGCAATAATAAACCAGAAATCCTAAATCCTAACAATTGGACAACATTTGGAAACACTAACACATCATTATTGAAAACAACATTACTAGACAGATAACAACAACGGTAATGACTTAAACCCTTCTTCATTAACAATATCATGAGACACTGGTCTACCCAGGAAACCTAACTAAGAAAGTTATTCAAAAATGAAGGAAAAAGTCCATTACATACTTCCTTGCCATGGTCGTTTCCATTTTCCTTTTTCATTTCATCTTCCTCCTCCTCCTCCTCCTCCTCTTCTTCTTCTTCTTCTTCCTCCTCCTCTTCCTCCTCCTGTTGTTGTCGAAGAATGTTCTCATTGCCAACCCAATCTTTTTGAGCCACACCAAGCCTCTGCTGCTCCTCTCTAATCTTAGCAACCAACCTAGCTTCTTCGCACCTCCTCATCAGAGTCTCAGACCAGCGTTCCCCAGGCCTGGCCATGCTTCTCTCACGTAAATCCTGAAACCTCCCTAAATATTCATGATGCAAATAAGGTTCCCTTTCCCTCATCGCATCCTCCGAGAAATACTGCCCATCAAACACCAATTTGTTCAAGTAAGCCCGCCTTCGATTCTTGACAGTCACCGACCTTGATTTCAGTTCCTCTGAAGTTGGGCTCATCTTGCTCCTAAGATGTTTTAAGTGCCAATTAACTTCATAGTCATCGTTAAGTGCATCGAATTCGTGGAGTTCGTCAATAGTCAGCTGAGACCCATATCTTTCTGCATCACCAACATCAATTTAGTAAAACAAACAAACAATTTAATGCAAGAGAAAAACAATAGTACCTAAGAAGACGGGGACGTCGCGTGAAAGGAGGTCGTGGAGGATGGATTTGCGATTGGAGGGATCGGTGGCGGAAGATTGAAGGGCGCGTGGGAAGTAGAGATTATCGAGAGCTGAAAGCCTTTGGGTAATGCTCTCCACTGCTTTTTCGCTAACTTTTCTTTCCATCTGCATATCTTCTGGGTTCTTCAATCGTAGAATTGTTGAAAACCTTAAAAACGCTCTCAAACAGACAGTTTTATCTTTGGCTCAATTACTTTTTTTTAGGTTTTTTTCTTTCCATTGTAATCACTTAACTATTCCTTTTTAAAATCATTCATAACTTTACGTTTAATTTTGTTTGATCCTCAGTTATTAAAAAAATTAAAATGATACTGAAGTGATAATATAAAATAATATTACATCAATATTGAAAAATAATTTAAAATATATGATGTCAGTATCACAATTAACTTTTTACGACGGGTAAGCAAAAAAAAGATAAAATATAATGTTAGTATGATTTCCAAAAAAATAATTGTTAAATTACTAAAATAGAAATTAATTAATATGTGGGTGACCAAATATGTAATTTAGCTTTTATATTTATTTTTTTATTTTAAATTAATCACTGTTATCCGATCTATTTATCAACGAGATTTATTTAAGTGATAAGTAGTTTGATATCGCTTAAGTAGATCACGAGTTTGAAGCATTGTATATGCAGAAAATCCTCGCTGAGAGACTCACATGCCAAAACTAGATATAACATCTCAATTTAGGGGTTAAATTTTAGAAATTATAAAGTGCTGAATTCAATTGGTATTTTGAAAGAAATTGAGGATTAAATTGTAAAACTTTAAAGTTTGGAGACCATTTTAAGAACTATAAAAAATTTAGTGACTAATCTCATAGTTTACCCATTTTTTATGGGATGGATTATAAACCCCTTCCCCGATTGTTTCTACGTATTCTTCCCAGTTTCCCTCTTCCGTCAACCCCTCTTTGAACTCTGATATTCTCACCGTCCGACCTCTGATCGACGAACCAAAACTACTATCGTGTTTGTTGTCGAGCGATGAACAAAATCCCTCAAACCTTTCATCGTGAATCGTCATCGTTCGTCGTTAATTTCAGTCGGAAGTATAATCGGTATTAACTCGATTTCAGTTGGTTTTTCGTCGATTCACAACGATCCGACCATTCGTTTTCGACACCTCCCGCACCATCGTATTTCTTACATCGTTTCGAGTCTGCCTGTGTCCTCTGTTTCTCCGTCGTCGCCTGCACCGACGCGTGTAGGGGTGAGAAAGTCAAAGTTTTCGATGTCTCAAATCGAGCTCTCCGCCGTTCAAAATTGCGAACCGAGCTCGGTAAATGTCTCAAAATGCCTTAAAATAATTATTAGGAATTTTTCCGGGAATTTTTCGACATCGTATAACTGTTCACGCGCCGCCACTACGCGTAGGGGTGTTAATTTTTTAATTAATTTCTGTTAGGGTGATATTTGTGTAAAATTTTGGTGTTAGTTTTGTAAATATTTATAGAATGTGGCTAATTTTGTAATTAATTTCTGTTAGGGTGATATTTGTGTAAAACGGTCGACTGTTGACCTTTGACCCGGCATTGAACGACCTTTGACCAGGTATACCTATCCTGACGGTTTTTGACGTTCTGAGTCTGATTCCGCAATCCGTTTTTCAAAATTCTCGGACCCGAAGACTTCGAAATTGCCAGTCAAACCCATTAACTTTGACTTCGATCGAAAAGTCAAAAATTTCTTTCGAAAAGTCATATTTTAATTTTTTGACGTCTTAAATCTATTTTTGGGGTTTTGCCAAACTCGAACCCGATAAGTTGTTTTTTATTGATTTATCACCCGATTCGATCTTCTTTTCGGAATTAATCTCCATTTTTTATGTAATTTTTGTTTATATGGATCCAATGAAATATTGGAAGTTGAATTAAAGATCAAAGGCGTTCGAATTGAATTTATATGGTCGATCAGTATGGCATAGAAATCGATGTAATATTTTACTACCTCTTTATGCTTTATGGAACATGTGAATATTGATAAATGCATGATTAAGATAATGTTGGTCTCATTTGTGTAGTTAATTAATTTCTACACTCAATCTGAATACGGTAAAAAGGTTCATTAATTGATTATAGTTCAGATGAATTTTATAAGAAATTGAGAGATTTTTAGAATTAAATTACAAGTTCTGTGCTCAGTGATAAAGAAATCAACCTGGATCTGTAACTTATAATTTATTTCATCAAAGGTTAAATGTTAAATGTACTTGGATGAGAAAATATGAGAATACTCTTGTAGGGTAAAATTACAAAAATACCCTTATGTTATAAAAAGACAAGATTTGGCTATGGAAGTTGGATAAGATGTTTTAAAGATATATTGATCTGATGAAACTACTGATGTGAATAAGAAATGCTAGTTTTGCTTAGAAAATATAGATAATCGGTTTTTAACCCAAGAGGATTTGAGCAAGAATCTAGGAGTCTGTTAAGGGACTCATTTCAAGATCAGAGAATGTTCGGGAAAATAATTAATCATAGGATCTCTAAATTATATTATTTGGTTAAGAGTTAATACCGAAATTATCTAGTTAAGAAATTACTAAAATGCCCTTGAGAGGTAAAATAGTCTGAGTTGACCCTGAATGAGAAAGTACTTTGAGGATTCATACTTAACTCAATTAAGTATGGATTTAATTGTTAAGAACCTATATTTGTACAGAAAAAGTCATGATATTTCGTTTGTAAAATCTGAGAAGGCATTTGACCCAAAAATATCCGAGTTATGAGTACAAACCTGAAGAATAATTTATCGGGGGTGTTTTTTTGACAGAATTATTTGAAATGACTTAAATAAGTGATAATTTTAAATTCGATAATAAGATCGGACGCAAGGAAATGATTGTAATACACTAGATCTGTAAAATGACCAGAATACCCTTAAAATACAAATGACCAAGAATATCACCAAGCTCATGAATGATTGGATATCCTCGAGCTCTGAAATGAATGGAATATAACTGAGCACCAAAATGACCAAAATACCCTTATGACCTAGAATAAGTAAATGTCTTGGATTAATTTAAAAATCCAAATAAACACGGATGTTGTACTGCTCTTAAAAGTTATGGAACGCAGCTTAAGTGGTCAACCAATGCTAGTGCTATATCATTATCTGAATGATATAAGTATCACTTGAATGTTGGTTCGTCTTATTAAGTTTGGATTGATGATAATTTTGGAAGTAATCAGCTCAGCTCAACTTTGCATCGCATTCGGCACTCAGAAGTGGATATTCGTTAGACAAATCAACCAAGAAGACAAAATTGAACTGAACGAAAGTATAATACTTATCTGAAATCCAGAAACGTCCAAATTACTCTGAAAAACTCTGAAGTAACTGGGATACACTTGACTGCTAAAGAAATTAAGCAACCTCAAGGAATGAGGATTAAATAAGTGATTTGAATGGGTATGGAAATGTTAATGAACATACATGATGTAATGTTCTTATAGGACATATACTACCTATCAAGCACGTCAGCATTTCATGATATTGTGGAAGTGTAGAAATGAAATAAAGAGCATTGAAATATATGTTAGTTTCCTTAAGATATATTCAACAATGATTCCGAATATAATCTATGGATAAGAATTTTTTGTATTAAAAAGTAAATACCCTGGAAGGATAATGTATTTACCAATCGACAAACATTAATTCTGGGAGATATTCATCTATAGTTGTTTGATAATGAAATCAATCAACATAGACTGTAAATGTCATGGACCTTCATTTCTTCCCTATAAGCTCAAGTTTCATTTTGAATAACTGATGATTCCATCAGTTATTGATATCTTCCAATAGTAATTCTAAATTCCAACATTCTATCGACATACTGAAAATCTATGTTTTTCTGCTTGATAAGATTATCCAGTACCTCTGAATAATATCAATAATTGATTTCTATGGTGTGTTCCCTAATCATATAAATATTTTATCTGATTTCCGACTTGAATTCTATTATGATACATTACCTGAATTATGTTCTGATATATAATCTGAATTCTGTTTTGATTTCTGATATCTCCGTTTACCGACGAAGAAATGTTTTATCTGGGTGGTTTATTTTTGGAGGAAGATTATTTGCAGACTCATCGACTTTGTGCTCAGGGACTAAATGACATGTGCGGTTGGGTATATGGTTTTGGGGAACCTACACATTTATGATGTGAATGGATGGGAGTAATGTTCATGTTTTAAAAATATTTATGTTTTAAAAGATCTGTAACTTTTTTACTGGTTTTACGGGAACACACTAGATAACCTATTTTAATCTCCTGAACCTAGATATCTGAAATATTTCCATCTGGACTGAATATTATCTGTTACTACCTGTGTTGAAAATATTTTTATGTTTCGATATAACAAACTAAGTATGAATGAATTTTAAGATTTTACAAAGATTTTTATAAGTATATTTGATTCAATTAATCGAATATCAAATTATTACTCCAAGTCTTTCAAGATCAATTTCAAACCTTACTAAATGTGTAAAATTGTGTTTTATACTTAATATATTTTTGAAACAATTTTCACAAAGTATTTTGAACCGAAATCAAGCCTAAAATCAATTTTTCAAATGGATGCACCGATGCACCAATCCATGCATCGATGCACCAATGAATAAATTGAACATCGAATGCAGTTTATGCATCGATGCACTCAGGTTTAATGAAAACATCGAATGCATTTTATTCATCGATGCACACACCATGCATTAATGCACTTAGGCTTATTCAAAACACCAAATGCATTTTATGCATCGATCCACACTTAGTGCACCGATGCACTAAGTGTTCCAACGGTCAAAATATTTGAATTTTACACTTGATGCACCTTGTGTATGCATCGATGCACTGACGCTCCCAACTGATTTTATTAATTGTTTTCACACTTAAACGACTCTATTGACTCCACTAATCATCCCCAACGTTCAGAATCAATTGAAGGAGTATTTAAACAAGCTTAGAAGCCATTGATCAACAATTAGAAAAAACAATGAAGAAGAGAAGCTAGAGAATCAAAGAGAAAGCATCAAACCTCAAGTTTGAGCATTTCAAGCTATTTTCATTCAATATTCATTTTGCTTTCAAGAACACCATTTGTGCTCTATTGTATT